CTAGGGCGGGCTCTGCTCACAACATCTAACAAAATTATATAGCAAGCTGAGCCATTGAAAACTGGGCTAAATATGAAAAATTATAATTTTTATGCATTTGTTACTTAGTAAAAACTTGTTTTGGTGTAAAAGAAAGTCTGTATTGAATAAATACCATAGATAGGTTCTAACATAACTGCTGACAGTATTTTAGTTTCTGATCAACTGAGTAGGTTAATGTGAAATAAAAGCATTAATGTTTCCTTCTCGTTTGGGCACAATGAAGTTCTGCACTATAATTCTGAACTCTTCTGTAACACACTGTAAAATGGTCTACTACATTGAAAATGTTAGTAACAACTGAAATTGACAGTAGTCTTAGATAAAATCAAGAGATGGTGGCAATGCAACAATAAAAAATAAATTTCTGCATTATCTAGTGCTGAAGAGTATTTGGATTGTAATCATAGAGTTCATAGGTTGTATTGTCGTAAGGAGTACAAATGTTACCAGTTTTTAAAACTGTGCAGCCACCACATGCATATAAATAATAGAATCATATTCATACAATCACAGAAGGTTGGAAGGGACCTCAAGGATCACCTGGTCCAACCTTTCTTGGGAAAATCATGGTCTACATAAGATGTCCCAGCACCCTGTAAAGTGTAGGAACATAAGTGCATTGTGTAACTGTCAGGGAAAAATGCAAGGTACTATCAACTACCAAATTCTAGCAACTGTTGGAGGCCTACACAAAATCAGAATTGTTCGGCAGAAATACCAGCTGAAAAAAACTCAGGATTTTCCTGCTGGTAGACATAGTTATAGCTGGGAAAAGGGGAAGGGGGAAGGAAATGAAACGTAGAAGAAACAGTATTACCTTTTTCTTGATGTTAAAATATTTTCAGCGTAAACATTTCTGTTGTACCAACATGACATAAAAATAATTGCCTAATACTTAGCCTGTTGAACTTTGATGATGCTGTGTGAAGAGAAAAGGAACATTATTTTTTTTTTGTTATTTCTTCAGGATACATATGAGGAGATTAATAAATTTGAGAAGGCTATAGCGGGAAATACCTCTACAGTACACAGCCAAGTGGCTGACAGGTAATGTTTGGATTTTAGGTGGCTAAGATCAGACAGGGTCCTACCTCAGCTGCCTACTATCTGTGTAGACAGCCACTTGAGGAGAACTTAATGGCTTGTTTAGTCTAAACTCTGATTGTTCTTTGAGTGATTGGCCGCTAGCACTGCAAATATTCCAGCTCCAGCTCCATTACTGTGTTTTACCTCTACATCATATTTTGCTTGACCTTGAGCTTGACTGTTACCTTTACTAACTTTATCTTCACCGTCACCTTCACCTTACCTTGTAGTAGGATGTCTCAAGCTTCCTTCTCTCCTTTTTGCCATATATGCAACAACACAGGGCACAAAATATTTCTATTCTTCTCTGCTCATGTCAGTCATTGAGTCTGTAAGGTCAATTAAACTTGTAGAGATGAGAATGGTTGTGGGTGTACATACATGGTAATGCATATCAAAGAAAATGGAAGTAACATTTCTCCTTATACTTTTTTGTATGTTGACTTATTTGTGAATCATTTTAAGTAATAACCTTCCTGTCACATTTAATGGTATGTATACTATACTCATAAGAGTTGGCACTCATTCATACTGCCATGGATGCTTCTGTGCATAAACAATTTGAGATTAATGTATTTGCAAAACTGCACTCAGAGTGTATTGAAGAGTCACCCATCTTTGATATTCTATGAGCCATCCTAATTTCCTGTTTCTGCAGAATTTGACTTCATATTAGAAAATTCATTGTTTAGCAGTTGGCTGACATCAATGCCGGAACTCTCCTCTGGACTTAGTGTTCATTGTGGGGCACAAGAGCATCAAGAATTAGCCACAGTGCCCACAAAAGGTGCTGTTGTGCGTTTGTAAGACTTGCACATACCTACATAGGAATCTGTATGAAAAGACCTCAAAGAACCACAGTTCCTATAAAGTCAGTGATCTTTTTCTTTATAATCTTTTCAATCAGCACTATAGAAGAATCATTGCAAATGCAGAAGTTGCAAGAAACAACTCTAGAAAATACAACACAGACAGCAACTGAGCTGTTAAATATTTATTCAGATGATGAATATATAAAGAAAATTCGAAAATGTTTAGAGGAAGATAAGTTCGCTAGAGAACAACGAGAAAAGAGACGGCGAAAAATGCTGATGGAACAGTTAATAGCACATGAAGCTGAAGAGGTGAGAAAATGTATGCTGAATTATATAACCCATGCACAATTAGTAATCTAAAATTTTGTTTACAATTATAAAACCGCAGTGTTTTTGGAGAGCTGAATAATATTTGGAAGGGATAAAGGGAGGCATATGCACTTATACCTGAAAATAACTTTTATGCCAACCATTGCCTTTCCTTGAAACATGTGGAAGGTTGTCCGCATTTATGTCATGCTTCATTCTTATAAATCATAAAGGACCAAATGAAGGCATTCAGAGCTAAGATTACTAAAAATTAGTTGAAGACCTGCCTTCTGTTCCTCACCCTTTCAAAGATGGACTTTAAATTATCAAAATGTGTACTGGTTCTGAAGAAGTTACTTGTTAAAAGAAAAACAAATATAGTATTTTGTAGTTGAAAACCTGTATTTTGAAGTGTGTTGTGTAAAGTGTTTGATCTGGACTGGCTGAATTCTGAAATGGTTGTGCTAGGGGATATGAAGAAGTAAAACACTTATTTTGCAAATAAGGGCTTTGATTTTCAACATGTTATGGAATAGAAGATGTGTCTGTGGAGGATGTCTGTTTTGTATAAAAATGGATATTGCAGGTTATTCCATTTTAATCCTGTCCTGTAAAGCACAAGGCTTTTCAGATTCCTCCTCACACACCTCATTCAAAAAGCAGCTCTTAGATTATTGACTTCACAGATCTTCTCTTTCTTCATGCCTATATCAAAACAGACACTTGTAACCTACTGGGTTTCTGTAATTTCTTGTTATTATTTACCTTAGTATTGCACTGTGAGTCATTAGCTTATGTCACATGTGTTGGACCCAATATAGCTGAGCCTGACTCTATTGCTGTTGCATAATAATAGCTCTTCTGATTTGTGGCGTCTCTGTAAAGTATGAAATTTTTTATTTTTATATGTACATATATATATACTTAAGCATTGACAAGTAATGTCCGAAAACATTTTTGGAGTTGTTAAAAAATTAGATTTTTTTTGTTAGGCATTTAGAAATGTGATGACATGTCAATATCTATCCCAGACATATGTTCTATGAAAAACACCTGTAGTGGCTTAAACTGAGAATATGTCCATCCATGTATCCTGTCTATGAGCTCTCATTCAAAGAGGTTCCATATCATGCCTTGTTGATACAGATAGGCCATGAAGAAGTTTTGCAATCATGTTGTCTGAAATCACTGTAGCCACAAAACTTGCTCTTTATCTCTGCTGTGAGATGGTTGTTACATCTCCAGCACAATGCCAGCAGCCTTAACGAGTGGTTCTGATAGCCCCAGCTGTCCACAGATGGCCATGTGGCCAGTAGCAGTCAGTGGGGCATTTGATGGGTACAGAAGCTCTTGGCTAGCAGGGCCGGCCATTGCTGTTCAGGTCAGACATCTGGTCTACCTGCAGCTGTAGTACAAGCCTGGCCACTTTGATAGGGAGGAACTGTTACAATGTGCTGCCAATTACACTGGCTCCAGTGGGCTCTTAGCAAGGCAGACTTAGCCACAGTGTTCCTCGCTTCCCAGGAAGAAAAATCAATGTTGATAAAGGAAAAACAGAAGCCAAAGACTGCAGAAAATAGAAGCCAAGTGAGGAGTTGATTGGTACATTACTCTGACCAGATCAGAGAACCTATTTAGTGGTAATTTGGTTCTATATTAGCAGAGGAAGGGGTGTCTGGTTGAAACTCTGTGAGATTTCTGAAATTAGATGCTGCTTGACTTCAAAGAAGTGTGAAGCAAACTGTGATTTTTTTTCTTAAAAAAAACCCCAACAAACCAAACAAACCCAAAGTAGTTAAAAATTACTTTCTCCCTCCATGAGACATCAAACCAGAAAGGGTTTGCTGACTGAAATTGTAGGCTTCTGTAGGCATTAAGGTCAGATTTTTACCTATGCTGCATAAAACCTGGGCACAGGATCATTTATAGTCAAAGGAATTTTATCCCTTCAGGGTGCTTTAGTGTGTTTCGTGTCCATATATATAAACTTCTACTAAAAGTATATTGCACAAAGTCTTGAGTTTTGGCACACTATAAGTTGGTGCCTGGGAGCAGAAATACTTTGCATTTACATGATACTTCTCTGTGTGGAGCATGGGATAATGTAAGCCAGATTCTCAGGCAGGTGTGGAAAGAGTTTGGCAGTAATATGGATTCATTGCAGCTGAATCTTTGGTTTCCACCATTTCAACAAAGTCTTTTTCCTAAGTACTTGTTATTTTTAAATGAGTTGTTCAGATTTTATCTTCCTGAATTTGAAAAGTTACTAGGAGGAAGTCATCATCAGCTATAAATGAGAAGATGAAAATGGAAGAGGAAATTAATTGTTACTAGATTACTTCTTGCTAACTAAAGAGATTTATGTATGCTAAGCTATAAGCTTTGGTCATAAATCTTATGACTACACAATTGGACAGAATTGTTTCATTTGTATATAAATTAAACAAGAAAATAGAAAACATGATATAATAATTACATATGAACATGAAAAATAAATACATTAATGTGTGGCCACTGGATGCCACTGTTGTCTCAAGTAGGTAAACGGAAAAAACAATGTGTATTATACTTTTCTCACTAGTAATTATTTAAATTATTAGTAAGATTTCCCAGTTATGATATTGATGATTTCTTCAGACACCTCACAATCCTCAGTGAAAAAGGTCATTTAAAATGTTAGGTAAAAAAATTGTACTGCCATTTTTAATTTTGTCTCCTAGTATGCCTAGAAGTTTCAAAACTTTTCAACCGTAGGTTTTAGTACTTGGTCCATTCCTTTTTGTGTGAAAGATAGCTACCAGTGCTTTACTCCCCTATCCAATAAGCATATTTTTTGAAATTATTAGTTTTATGTCCTGAATCCTCATTTATCCATTTATCATGTAGCTCTGAGTTAATTTCCTTCTGGCTGGTTTTAGGCCAGCTCAGTACATCAAAATATTTGATCACTTAGAATAATGTAGTTCTCTGCCCTTCAGTAGGCAAAGGAAAGGTTTCTTTTGGCTGCTCTAAAATGTTCTAAAGCAGTATCTTCCCATGTCCTTTATAATGAGTGCATTTACCTAGATGAGGTGCTGTGATTTCTCATTGGTCCAGCTATTCATACCATACAGTTGGTGGATTCAGGACTACAAATGGGGTGGCTCATTCAATGCTGTCTAAGTTAGGATTTAAAAATCCATTTTCCTCACTGGAGTACTAATTGCTGTACTTATTATTAGTATTATCTTACCTGCAGCTGAAGATACGCCTTTGCTACTGAAGAAAACAGTGCAGGATATTTGCTTGTAATAGAAAGCAAAATCTGTGCATCTTCTACTCTTCTTTGAAATCAATGAAGTAGTCTTCAGAAGAAGTGAATAGAATTGTGGCAGCAAATGGCGTCACTTTTTTGGCTTGATTTCCTGAATGGAAGCAACAAATGGACAGATTAACTCTTTAGTAGGGAGTGCCATTAGAAATTTTTATCAGTTGAACTTTATCATATGACAATAAAATGAAATATTTTCGTATGAATATGAAATATTTTCACATGAATATAAAAGTATAAAGTGCATATAAAGTTGTTACTATTGCGTTGTTTGCCGTTTCCATTGCATGCATGATGATAATGCTGTGCATAGAAAGATTGTGTACAAACACTATACTAGGGAGTACAAACCAAAACAGATTCAAAAACAGACTTATTTTGTGATAAGCTTATTAGAGAGACAATATTGTCTGAAGGTGAAGCACTCTGCCTGAGGTGACCACATCTTTCCCATTAGGATTACTATGCAGTTTCATTAGATTTAGTGCTAGGAAGAGGAGTGCAAATCTCACATTTTGGCTAAAATAAACGAAGTGTTGAAGCATTTTTGTATCAGCTTAGTCTTTTCAAGTCACCAGTATTTAACTGGATTGTACTTTATTCCCGGAAATTGTAAAGAGAAAGGAACTTAAAAATATGGGAAGAGTTTTGTTTGAAATGTATTGGCTTCTCCCTTACATCAACATTAAACATCTAAATTAATTAGAAACTTTTGTTCTTATTATTGCAATTAAAATAGCCACGTTTTACAACTTTGTGGTAGAAATCTATTATACATGTCCTGGGTGCACCGTGTAGCACGGACCTAGGACTGTGTAGAGTTCTTTCATAAACAGTATGATACATAATAAAATTTTGTTTTTCATTAATAGGTGAATTTAGGTAGTGTGTTCTGCCATCTCTGTCACAGAAGGCTGAGGGAAAATAAACCTGATTAAAAGAAAATAGAAGTGACATTTTATTTTGGCTTGGTTTTCATAGTACCACTAATCAGCTTTACCTGTTTCTCTCTTTTCAGGAAAATGAATTTGACATGTTCAGATCAGTTTCCAACTTAGGTCCTTAAATTTGAATACATTTCATAGCAGTTTTGGTGTGTCTGAAACAAGTGTCCAAGGAAGAGATATTTTCTCCCTAATTCTGCTGCAGGAGTGATATTTGGCAATGGGGCTTGAAAGGCAAGCTGGTGCTTTCACTTAGAACTCAGAAGTAGTTCTGGAGTGTGAAAGTAATGAGGCAAAACTTTAGGTTAGGTTAAGCCTTAGTTTGGATATCAAGAACAGTCTACAGAAGTGTTGTAGTGAGAAAAAACTATTAAGTTTGGACAAATACTTTGAAAAGTGACAGTCCACAGCCTTCAAAGTATCTGTGCACACCCATCATGCTTTAAGCACTAGCTAAGAACTATTTTCTTATAGTACCAAACAGGGCATTCTACTTATATCCCAGTGAAAATGTTGAAACCGTTTCCTTGAAGTCTTGTACTTTTCCTCTGTTCCGAATGCTTCCTTACATTCCCTGTCTCCAGAATGGAAGAGACAATTACCCAAATCTCAAGAAAGAAGGAGAAAGTTCAAACTGATCAAGGATCCTGCAGAGTATGGCTGAGATTGAGGACTGGTGAAGAGCAGGGATAAGTTAATGATTTGAAGAAAGGATATGTCTTTACATTATTTGAAGCAATTATTTGAAATACACTGCCGTTTACTTGCACACAGGAAATACCAAAGTTAAAATTGGGTTAATCTGAACAAAGGTATTTTTAGTGAGCATCTTGGTTAAGATATATTTAGAATTAACTTTCTACTGTTCTACAATTCATGTGTAGTTTACAGAAGTAGTATTCAGAAATTATAGTGTTCCAGGTTTTTGTATCAATGAGCAAGTAAATGCTGTTACATGCCTCCATTCATGTTTCTCATATGAGACATTGATGAGTTGTCTATGAAGTATTTTAAGCTGTGCTTAATACTATTATTTTTTATCTTTTAGGAGGCTTACCGAGAGGAACAACTTATATACAGACTAATGAGACAATCTCAGCAGGAGCGGAGGATTGCTGTTCAACTCATGCATGTTCGACATGAAAAAGAAGTGTTAAGGCAAAACAGAATTTTCAGGGAAAAGCAATATGAAGAAAGACGACTGAAAGAGTTCCAGGAAGCTCTTGATAGAGAAGTGGTAAAACATGTTTTGCTGCTTCAGTTGTACAGGACTGTTACAGTACCTTCCTGTTATAAAACTGAATTTGTATTTTAGGACTTTGCTAGGGACAGGGTGATTTAATGATTAATATATTCTTTTTTCTAGGTTTGAAGTTACAGCTAAGTTAGTAAGGGATAAAGCTGAGCAATTTAAAGTCTAATTTTGATTTTTTCTTCTAAGCAAATTCTAACCTGCTATGAAAATACCTCTGTATGCTGAGTTTAAAAGGCACAGTTTTGCAGAGCTGAAATTACTAAAGATTATGACATAAGATCATGTTTCAATAATCATATTTTTAATTTCCTTCAGGTGTAAACTGTTTACACCCATTTTTAACAAATGCTAGAGGGGTTTTGCTCATGAGTGCTAATTTCTACCTTGCAGCTTGGAGCTGATTAATAAATTGTAATGATTTATAATCTTGTGGTAAACTGCCTAGTGCTACACTCATAGTAGGCCATAATGTGATTGTAGAAATCTTATTTTGCTCCTGCCAACACTGATTAGCAGCTCTAAATCCCCTAGTGCAGCTGGAGTACTATGTAATAAGCAGCTATAGCTATTCATTACAAGATCTCTTTAAGTATGCTCCCAGGGAAAAGGGGCACACCATCACAGGAACTAATGATGATTTTCTATCATGACCAAAAATCTTTCTCAAAGTTTGATTAGCATCAATAATATCAAATTAGTTGCAGATTAGAATCTTTTAAGCTAAATTATTTGTCACATATTGTAAATAAGTATTCCATTATGAGTTTCACTAGAATGAAGCCTTTACCAATGCATCTGCATATTGTTTCTTAGGAAGAGTAGGCAGCATCATTTAATGTTTCCCTGTCCCCTGAGCACTGAATATGTTCTTAATCTGTCTGTCTTGAAAGAATTAATATATTTCTCCTTTATTTTATTATATTTTAGCAGTTAGAAAGCAAACAAACTGGAATTTATAGAATGAATAAAAATTTTTAGATTTGTCCAGTGTTAATCTGCTTGCTCTCTATCCAGCTCTGGAGAGAACCTAGATGTTTTCATTTCTTGACTTAAATGAGCAAGTTCATTTTCATTTCCAGGTCTGTGCACCTCTGCACTTTTATTTTCTGTAATCTCAAATTTACTCTTTAAAAAAATTCTAGGCCCTTGCAAAACAAGAAAAAATTGATTTTGAAGAACAAATTATCAAAGAAAGAGAACAACATAAGAAAATTGCTGTTGAAAGAGCTCAGGCACGTTATAAAAAGCATTATGCTATATGTTGGGAAGTGATTGACCAAATAATTGATTTGTCAACAAAAGTAGGAGAATATCGTCTACTGACAAACAAGTGAGTATGGTAGCTGTTAGGCAAAAGTAACGGTTGCTAGGTAGCTGCTAAGCTTAATTATTCAGACTGGCTTAAGCATCACAACATCTTATGTAGATTCTCAGATATCTTACAGGACAGGTTCAATTTATTTATGTGGAAAAAATGATATTACTTTTGTGTGAGGATTCTCTTGTTGTGATAGAGGGTGAACTAGTGCTGAAGACTCAGCGTAATTTCTTGAAAACACTATTAACTCGGAACCTTGGGAGACCAAGGCCCATAAGTTCTACAGCTTGTGGAACTACTAATTTCCTTTTTTATGAACAGATTTCTCGTTTGAAGTTTAAAAATGGAGTGATGCATATCTCATTCTGTATTGCTCCACTAGCTGAACACTTCCTCAGTGCCATGTAAACAGAATGAATGTAGATCAACCTGACTGGACTGTCCTAAAGGTAGCAGCTCACTCTGAACGTTCCAAGACCTACATGGTGTGATTCCCTCTTCTGACTTGCCCTATTTGCACGGGGTTTCAGTGAAAGTCCTAAAAATGCAGTAGCTTGCAAGTGCCTGTGTTGTTATGAGTGTTTCCAAAACCACAGAGTGGGGCATTGTTACTGTTGTTCTTTCATTAATATTCAATGATTAGACTGTGGGATAAGGCTTACAGCACTAGATGTGTGCCAAAATCTTAAGTGCCTTTTAGTGTAATTGTATGTTAAAATAATAAAGCTGTAACCATATGGAATACATATGACTATATTCTTGGAAATTATATAAATTTATGCTCCATAACTACAAGATGAAATAGTCACCCTTGACATACCTTAGTGGTGATTTGATGGTTTCCTTATCTGGCAGTCATTCTTCCAGTGTAAGCTAGTGTCACATTTGTTTTCTTGAACTGAGTGGTGCACAGTATGTATAGATGTTTGATATATCTTTCCATACTATGCTTATCCAGGTTGTACCTGAATTTACTGCCACTGTAAGTGTGCTTTGTCTGTCTTTTCATACACTTCATCGTACACAATACAAACAATAGGTATGCAGTTTTTTCTGAACAACACATACACAGTTTATTTAAAGCTATAACACTGGCATATCCACAGTCATTGCTAAAAGAAAATTTAAACTGACATAATCTTAAGGAATAGTAGGAACTTTCATTTTGACTATTTGTTAAATTTAAGCTATTATCTATATTGTTTATTAAGCAGCCATAGAATTGCAGTGTGACATATATCAGCGTCCTGATTGCATTTAGCTTGCTATATATGCAGTTTGTCTTTTTGTTTCATATGAATATTTTTTCTTTCTAAAAGAAAAAAAAAAAGTTTAATTATGCATATTTAATTGTTTGAGATGAGGCTTCACTCCACAAAAGGGAAAAATATTTTCGAGCAGGGAAAAAATAGCTATATCAAAACTGTTACTACACAGCTCTGCCAGCCAAGTACCGTGCGATGACACGTTTGTGAAAATACTGAAGCCTACAAGTGCCTGTGGCTTTGTAAGTGCCAAGCACTTGTAAGAAGCTGTAATTAGAGAAAGAATTATAAACTATATCTAGATTAGCATATGCTTGTTTCATGATTGTGATTCTTAAAAATTTGGGTCTGGTAGTCTCAAAAATCTAACCCCTTTATTTTGAACTCTTTTTTTTTTTTCCTCTTCTACAGCAGAATTCCATTAAAATTGATGCGAGATTGGAAGGAATTTTTTTTTAATGGAAAACCAATTTACGAACAAGCCTCAATTCAACCTTTGCCAAATGAACCAAGTCCAGAACAACTTATAGAGCTGAATAAAATGAATGTGTTAGATGAAAAAGATTATGGTGAATACAAGGTACATTAAACTGACAAGACATAATGCAAGATAATACACCTTGATTTTCCATAATCATAAACATTTTATTGTGATGTTTCACTTTCTTCTTGTACTAGTTTCTGATATCAGATTTTGACATGCATTTCTTTTCATTGCCTGAGGTTCTCTGTGAAATATATGTCTATATTTTCTTTTAGTAGCACTGCAGAACTGGTGAAATTTTAAAACACTGTTATAATTTCATTCTTGTATGTAACACTGATTACATTTCTCTCTTGAGTTTGTTGCACCAATGTGTTAATTGGAATGCAAATAATTTTTAGCTAATTGGAATTTTAAAGTGTGCTGAACACTGCCTTGTTTGAAAATGCAATAGAAAGTAGCCAGCAAAAGCAAGTAAAATGAAATTCTTGATCTGTTACAAAACCTGATAGTCTTAATTTCAGAAATTTTGAGTGTAACGTTTCTAACAAGATTTCTTGGTTTGAGTGATCCATTTCTTTTAAGATGTTAACATAAGTGACACTTATTAAAAATGTCTGACGTTTTTCTTAACCTTTTGTTGGAATACAAATAGCTATTTTTAAGGGTGCCTTAATTTTTTTTTTTTAAACTTTACAATACATTAATATAATTGCACAAATTAAAGATGTAGGGTGAATATTTCCATGTTAAAATCCATTGTGTAGTATTTTCCAAATTACCTTAATGGTACTTTTCTTTGGAAAAAGAAAATACTGCTACATTTTTATTTTTTTTCAAACGATCTCTGACTAGAATATAGCAAAATCATGGCAAATAACCTGTCTTTGATTTTTTTGAAAATTATTACTACAATAGATATCTGCTTTTATCCACATTCTGAACCAATTGGTATATGTTCTTTTCCAATGAGTATAAACATTGGTTATGAGTTTCTGTGATGACTGTTTGACAGCTCAGTTTACTGCAAGTTCAATCAATCCATATGAGTTCTATATCAACTCATGTAATGAATTTAATGATCAATTTAACGTGCATCATAATTTTCACAATCACTTTTTTTAGGAGAAAAGGTGCGTATATGCAAGACTAATGGGGAGGACGTACAGGACAGACAAGCAGGAAACAGTGGGGAGCCCTAATGAAAAATTAAGATTTTACAGTCATATTGTTGTCTATATTACAAAGTCTCAGTAGTCCTCTCTAGATGTAAGGTCAATGAACCTTGCAAACATTTAATGACACTTTTAAAGCCTATTTTTCACTACCAGTCTGTTTCAAATGCACATTCACACGAGTAATTTTATTTTTCCCAGATACTGTTAGTCTTATGCTTTTCTGAATCAGTATTCATCAAAAGCTGTTATTATATGACATATGTAAAATTGTTGACACCAGTTCACACTTATGTCTTCTAAAAACCTAAATGAACAGCTAACACCTTCAAAGTATGGCTTCTAGGTAAAAGTGTATTAGCAGGGCATTCTGGCAATGTTTATGCCGATTTTCTTAACCTTTGAGAAAAAAAGCCCAGCACAGGCAATTTGTCATTTCTCAAGAATACTACATTTACATTAGGAATACTGATGAAAAGTCTTAGATGTATTTGAAAAAATACAAGAACAAAATATAATGCTGTCAGTGTGTTGCACATTCCACATTAAATTGAGCTTGAAAATACTTGAAAGCTACCACATCATCAGTTGTGGCTAATTGCTGAATAAGTTAGGGGAATCACTGAAAACAAGCATAAAAGTAGGCATTGCTCAAAATTTCAAATAAATAATTTCCAGTTTCGGTTGAGAGTGTTGACCAGGAGTTATATAACTCTCTCCCAGATACTGGAAAACTTGTTTCTGACAGGTGAGCTACTTTAGCTCAAGACAAGTGCAGTCCAGCCATCTTCTGATTAAAAGAGTAAGAAATACGAAAGGTGAGTACTTTGAATGAGGAGCCTGTTCCATTTGGAAT